TCAAGCTTCTGGTCTGCGCAGTCTGTGCAGCCTCGCCCCACCTCCTGCAGGCAGCCTTCCTGGAGGCCATGCCCTGTCTGAGCCCTAACTGCCCGTGAGCCGTCTGTTTCGCCCCGTCAGGCTGGGAGCTGGTACACAGTAAGCACTCGGCAAATGTTCACCTACCCTGAAGGCAACCGTGGGGCAGTGGCAGGCAGCTGAGGACTCCCGGCTCCGTGGCAGACTTGCTGCCCTGGCCAGTGTTACCCGCTCTGGGCCCCAGTGCCCCTGAAGTCCGCTGCAGCCCTGAAACTGCCCACCAGTGTTGCCTGTAGGGCTCTGGGGGAAGGAAGGAACTAGAAAGAAGGTCGAGGTTCCTTCCAGGAGGCCTTCCTTACCTGGCTCCCTCAGAGCGCATTCCTGTTCTCAACGTCAGCTGAGGAAACTTTGGGCCGGATTGCTGCCTGGCCTCTGCTAATGAGGACCCCGAGGCACCCCAGGGTCTGTGACCCCTAGGGGCAGCCATCCCTGGGGGCAGGGCAGTGATCCAGCCTGGCCCGGTCACAAAGGGCACTCCCATGCCCCACCTCCAAAAGCCCTGTGTCCAGGGCCTCTCTGCCCTCCTCCACAGCAGACCCGTCCCAGATTATCTTCTACCTATGGGCAAACTTACCCCAAGACACAAGACCCAACTCAAATGCCCCCTCCTCCAGGAAGCCTCCCTAGACCTCCTCAGTCAGTCCCTTACCTCCCTGCCCCTTCTCCTACTAGTCTGGCCCTTCATCCCCACGCACATCCTGGCTTCTGTCTTGAGAGCAGGGACTGCATTTCTTACTCACCGCTGCCTCCTCACGAGGTACCCAGCCCAGCCCCGGCCCACAGCAGGCACTTAATGTGAGTTAAATGAAATCACCTCCTGGGGAAAGGAAAGTGATAACAACAGTAATAATAATAGCTGCCCTTCCATGATCATTAACCACAGGTCAGGCAGTGAACTTCATGGCGCATCACAGACGATGCAAATGAGGCCCAGGTGAGGAAGCAACTTGTCCAGGGCCCCTGCGCCAGTGAAAGGCAGAGCCAGGGTTTGCGCTTGGGTTTGTCTGCCTGGAGATGCACGCTGGGTCACGGAGCTGGAAGCATGCGGGGCCGCCTCCTCAGCCGACTGCCTGTCTCCCGTGGCTGGGGAACTCATCCACAGCACGATCCCCTTGGAGAAGCCAACACTGCCCCCTCCCCCTGCAATGCCCGGGCATGTCTGAGCCCCTGCCAAGAATCTAGCCCATGCAGAGTGTCCCTGGAGTGGTCCCAGGAGGAAGGCACCTGCCCTTATGGTGGTTGCAGTCCAGTTTAGGGGACAAGGACCCCCTTTCTATGCTGGCCATGACCATTCATTCCCCAGACATGCAAGAGCACAGACATCCCTGTCTTGTTGAAGATTTCACAGGGCAACAGATGCCAATATAGACAATGGACCAGGTGCTGGGGAGAGGCTCGCGCTGAAGGAGGACCTCCAGGAGGAGGTGACATTTCAAAGCAGCCTTCAAGGCTGTTTTGCCCAAGGGTGACCCATCAGTGAAGATGAGCGAGGTTTCTGCATGTGAGAAGATGAGGGTACCCTCAAAGACTCATGTTGGTCCTCAGAGGCCAAGTGTGAGTCGATGTAAGACCATTACAGGATGGACAGGGAAATGAGTGGGTGAAGCATGGTGGGTGGGTAGGTGGGCAGGGTGGGCAGTGCATCAAGGGATGCTGGATGGATAGAGTGGGTGGGTGGATATATAGGCAGGTAGGATGGATGGAGGTGGAAGGATGCATAGTGTAGGTGGATGGATGGTGGGAGTGAATGGATGAACAGGGGTGTAAGCAGTGGGTACACTGAGGGATGGGTAAGTGGTTAGGTGATTGAATAGCTGGGTAGTAGGTCAATAAACAGATGGGTAAGGAGGTGAGTAAAGGGATGGGTGGAGGGGTGGGTAAATAGATAAATAGATGTGTGGGCAATGAGTAGATGAATGGATTGGCAATTGTATCTGGGGATGGATGGGCCAATGGATGCTCATGAGATAGAGGACTGGGCAGACCAATCAATGGACAGATGCATAAACAGACCAAAAGCCCCGGCAGACTTTGGGATGGAAAGGATGCACGCTCCCTAGGGCTGGTGGATGTGGCCAAGACAACTCACTTAGCTCAAGGCCCCTCTCCAAAACTCACTGGAGCCTTGTGGGCAGCCACTGGCATTTCTGGGTCCCCAAGAGGAAAGTTCCCCTGTTGAGCTGTGCCCTGCCCCCTTCACCCTAGCTCCACAGAGGACCCCCTGCCGCCCAGAAACTGCCTTCTTCCCATAAGCCCGATGCCTCGGCCTACCCAGCCTGCAAGGGTGAGTTGAGCAGACAGCTGAGCTCTGTGACTATGGCCCAAAGGGCCTCATTCCTCCAGGACAGGGCAGGAGATGGGGACTCCTGAGCTCCAGGCAGCCAGTCCCATCTGGCAGCTCCCAGTCCCCAGCTGGCAGGCATTTGTTCTGCATTCTGCACGCTGATTACAGCCCTGCCAGTGTTAACCCCTGCGCTCCTGCTCCTGCGCACAGCCTCTCCGCAGGGCAGGAAGGGGACCACAGGAAACTGGGGAGGAGGAACCATGGAAAATGGGGACTGGCCATCCCTGCATCCTTTACAGGGATGCCCAGACCCTCCCTTTGTCCCATTTTCCAGAGGGGAAAACTGAGTTGGATCCTTAAGTCAGGAGTGGCACCAGGAACAGGAATGCAGCCTACGTGGGGAGGTACTCCGACCTGGAAATGGGAAGAGAGCTCCTCTCCGCCTCAGTTTACCCATATGTACAAGGGGGCAAAGAATTCCTGACTCACAGGTTGCCTCACAGAGAGCTGTCTCTCTGGGGCCCACAAGAAGTAGTATATACCCACAATAGCCAATATCCGCACTGGAATGATACCCATTATATAGACAAGAAACTTGAGGCCCAGAGAGGCCAAGGGCCTTGCCCACGGTCACACAATGGCTGGGAAGCCGATGGCCAGGATCTGGGTTCCAGGCCTCTGACATCACACCAAACTCCTTCCTTTGCTGCTCTGAGGACCCCCTGACTAAAGTGACATGTAATGTATTGTCTAACCAGATTACCTTTGAGAGTGAAAGGAAGTACTATTAATAATTTCACTGGGATAGTAGGCATCATCTGGGACTGTCCTGGACGGACAGGAAGTATGGACATCCTGCCACAGTAGGCGACTCTGGGCAAGTCACTTCATTTCTCTGCAAAAGGGACATAATGGCAGGCAGTACAGTTCCAGTGAGGCTGTCATAAGGGTGAAATGTGGTGATGCATATAAGAGGCTGTAGAGCCAGGTATGCACTAGGTGCTCAATAAATGCTGGTATTACTACTGCTATCAGCAGTCCCCGCCTCTGTCACTGTCCTTCCAGTCCATTCTGGGTTCACACAAGAGCTTCCGAATGCACAGCTGATCATGCTGCCTGCTGGCCCCCATCCCTGCCTCCATGAGGCTGGGCACCTGGCCCAAGGTTAAGCCTTCAAGACCTGACCCAGTGCCCTCTCCGCCCTTGAATGTGCCCACCACCCGCTGGTCCCTGCCTCTCAGGTGCAGCGCTTCTTCCCCTCACCCATGCTCTTCAGCGCCTCTGCGACTATGCCCAGTTCTCCTTGCCACAAAGCCTGACCCCAGGAAAAGAGCTCTGGCGGACCAGAGTCTCAATTGTACCCCTGTGCCACTTGAGCAAGTGCTGGAATTCTCTGTGCCTCAGTTTCCCCATTTGCCAGCTGTGCAAATAACCCCCTCCCTCAGTGGCCAGCATGAGGATTCAGGAGGCAATGAAAAAAGCCCAGCCCTCTGTGAACAAACCCTTGGCTCCTCCACCTGTGTATGCATGGCCCTCGTCCCCAGCCCGTCAGTGCTCAGACCGTTCCCTCCAGCCACGCCTGCCTCCTTCATGGGGATCCTTAGCTCCCCCTTTGCTGGTGCTGTCTCCTGCCCGCTGTGTGGGCACTTCCATCCCCCTTCCCTCTGCCTGTGTACCCTTTACAACTTAATTCGGGTATCACCTCCTTGAGGAAACCTTGGTGAGCCCCTCCCCTCCCCTGCTAGCCGGCTCTGTGCAAGGACAGCCCCCAGGACTTCCTGCCTGTCCTCAGGGGGCTCACCGTTCCAGGAGAACAAAAGAACAGGAAGCAGGAATCAGAGATCTATCTCCCTCCTTGAGGATTCCCTGACCCCCAGGGGCGGGGTTGAGGGTGCTCCATAAAGATTTCTGAACCCATCCATCTGAGATGTGATCTCATTTACCTGTTCAGCAGGCTTCTCAGGTGCTGACAGAGCAGAGAGCACTTAGTAACATAACATCTGATGTCTGCTTTTATCATCCCATTTTACAGGTAGGGAAACTAAGGCTCAAGCCTGTGTGTCCTGGCACCTGCGGGGCCTGTATAGGCTTCAAAGGAATGGGTGGTTGGGAGGAAGGGAGTAGTCACCCCAGCTGGTAGAACTCAAGGTCTGAGCGGGTCTCTGGCATTCAAGGCCTCCGAGGCCAGGTTTCCCGGTTCCCCAGACTCTCGCAGGAAGTGGCTGGAGAGCCCAGGGGCCAGTTATCAGGTCGGAGCCCCCTAAACCACGCAGAGGGGTGGGGAAGGGCTTGGCTGCAGGCTGGCCCGAGTCGCCTAGCCCGGCAATCCGCACATTCCCTGGCTCCTCCGGCCCGGACGGCTGGCCTGGCGCCCCCGCCACTCCCCCCTCTAGCTCTGGCCGCTGCTCAGGGCGGCGTGCTGGGTGCCCGGGAGGGGCCCCGGAGGGGGCCGGGCCGGCTTGCGGGCGGGAGGAGGGAGGCGGGAGGAGGGCGCGCGCCCACACCCCGCCCCCGCCCCGGAGCCAGCCTGCGGAGCCCGCGGCCAGGGCGGCGCAGACCGGCCCAGCGACTCTCCCCGGCTGCGCGCCGGGACGCGCTGCCGCTGCCACCGCCACCGCCACCGCCACCGCCACCGCCACCGCGTCCGCGCTCAGCCCCGGCCCCAGGGCTCGCGGAGAGAAGGTAACAGCGAGCTGGCCCGCAGGTCCCCAGCCCGGGTGGGCGTGGACGCGGCGGGGGGACGCGGCGCCTACGGGGACTCTGCACCCTCCTAGGCTCCCGGGGCTGGGCTGGGCGAGGGGCCCGTCGGCGAAGGCGCCCGGGTGCCAAACGAAGGCCTGGAGCGCTGCGCGCGGGGCAGCGCGGGGCCGCTCCAACTTGCGGGTGATTTTGTCATGTTCCCAGCTGGCGGAGGGGGGCAGAGAATTGGGGTGAGCAGTAAACCGGGTGGCAGGAGGAGGGGGCGAGCAGAGGGCCGTCTAGGCTCCTTCCTGCCCTGGGAAGGGAAGGAACGGGGAGGGGGCAACGTGTCGGAATGTCGGGCTTCTTGGCGAGGCCGGCGCGGCGAGCGGGAAGTTGGGGGGGGGGGGGGGACGCTGGGGAGATGGACCAAGCACCCTGCCCCCTCCCCAACCGCTGCATTCCAGGCCGGAGCAGCGGATGAGGTCATCCCGTCCGGTTCCCCTCAGGCCAAGCAGCCGCTGTCCCCTTCCCCACGGAGCGACCCTCCACACTGCAACCCGCTGCCCCCAGAGGGAATGTTGTATGTCTCAAGTCTGTCCCAGACTCCCAGTCCCGACTGCCCTCGAGGTATTCAGTTCTTGCCCCAACCACGCAAGACCCGCGAAGTTTGAAGCCCACGTTCAAGGCCGGGAAACTGGCTCAGAGAGGCGAAGGGACGGACCTGGGCCACCGCGGCACAGAACGCGGCGCGGGGACCGAACCCGGGTCTGTGGGAGACTCGGCCCGCAGCCGCTCGGCCTCGCCGGGGAGGACAGACTGGGCTGACTTAGGGCGGTGGGGCTAGAAGCGACACCCCGCTCACATGCACACCCACACCCACGCTTCCTCCCACCTCCCCTGTAGCCCACGGCGCCCCCTCTTCCCAGCCCGCTCCTAGTCCGGGTCCCTGCTGAGACTTCAGACAGCTTGCTACTCTTCTGGTCACAGTTTCCACGCCTCTCTACCTTGAACCGGCTGGCCTCTGAGAGGCGTGAGAAGCCAGCCCCCACGGAGTTAACCACCATTCCAGGGACCCTAACCAAGATAGGGTCCCGCTGTCCCTCGGTTGGGGTGGTGTCACCCAGCTGATGCTCGAGGGGAAGGGGCCATGTGCACGCGACTGGCCTCCGGGATGAGAGGTGGCGCCGCTGGCAGCCACCGCAATCTGCGGGTGACTCCTAGGTGAGTGCCAGAGGGTGGCCGCCCCCGCCTGCGCCTCTGCCACCCCCGCAGTCAGACCCGCGTCTGGCCTCCCGCCAACCACGTGTCTCCACAGCGGCCCCTGTTGGCCTCTCCTAATACAGTCCCTGCCTGGGGCCTCAGCCCTTGTCTTAGCGGTCATTACCACCCTTGAGTAAACCCCTACCGTGTACGGGGCCTGATTATTCCCTGTAGGGTAAATATAAGCATTTCTGGGACCCCCGAGGCTGCATGGTGATCAGTCGTGCTCAGGACACAGGCACAATGAATCTGCAGAGCTGTCTCCTGTCTCCGGACCTGCCCTTCCTATGCTTGGGGCCTGGCCGCCGCCTCCTCCAACTCTCCCTCAAACCCCTGGAGTTTTCACCCGTCCTGGCATTCACTGCTGATGTTGGTAGAATCCTGGGAGGTTCCCAGGCGCTTTTTCGTCTCTGTGGTCTGGGGCAAGTTAATCCCCTTCTGTGCCTTGTTTTTTCATCTGTAAAATGGGTGTTGTGAGCATTAGCAGGTAGTATTCCAAGGGCTAGTGAGGGGAGAGAGGACTTGTACCAGGACACCCAGAGCACTGCTTACTCCAGGGCCAGGTGGGGCACACCTGATTGGCAGCAATACCCTGTGGTCAGCATCAAGTGCCAAGTAGCTGCCACCAAGAGTCCCCAGAATGAGAAATGTTAGTATAAGGATGCTGGATTTGAACCTAGAGCTACCCTGCTCCAGCGTCTGGGGGTGTAGTTACAGCACCTCCCAGCCTTACAATGCTCCAGGGAAGGGACAAGCCTTCGACGCTATTCTTGTTTTCCACGTGGGAAAGACAGGTCCCCAGTATTAGTGTCCTGCCCTCGGCCCCACAACATGGAAGGGTCTCTCTACTGCAGTGGTCAGGTAGAGACCTTTGAGAGGTGGGATCATCAAGCCTGGAGCAGAAGCTGCTCTCCCAAGTCATAGTGGCCATGGAGGTTCAGTGGGAGCCGCTTTTGCTGAGCGAGGAGGGGCTGCTTCAAGAAGCCAGGAAGTTGGGGGGGCTAGGAGAGAAGTGGGTGTGGCCACATGGCAGACACAAGGACCCCTCCACCTGACACTTCAGAATGATCCACTACCCCAGTTTCTTCTTCCAAACATTCATCCCTCGGCTGCAGAGCAGGGAAATCTGGCCGGTGCCATGTACCTGCCATGTGACCTTGGCCAAGTCCTCTCCCTGAACCTTGGCTCTCCCTGTGCAATGGGCTAACCGTGCAGCTCTGCGGGGCTGTTGGAGAATCAGATGACATCATGTAATGGTTGACCAACTGCAGCGTGCCTCATAGCTACAGCAAACATTCCACGAGGACTTCTCCGTGCCAGGGGTGCCAGGGGAAGGGATGATTCAGAACACCCCCCCCCCCGGGGGAGGAGTTATGGTTGGGGGAGGATCAGATGGTGGGAAGGAAAGAGAATGTAGTCAGAGCACAAAGCAAGCTTTGTTGTATTGCCTTCTTTGTTTTTTATCTTGTTATTTAACCTATTCTGAATTTCAAATAACACTCAAAGGGCAGTCATTGAGATTTTTATGCTTGGAGGTGGCAGCAAAGTTGTTGTTTTTTTAAGTTGAGACTCAGATCCGGGTGTTCTTGTTAAGGGTTGGTATCAGCTTTTAGAAGCTGAGGTCCCAGACCTGAGGAGGTAAGTGACTTGCCCAAGGTCACGTGGTAAGGCCACCGCGTCCCTCACCTACCTTCGCTCGGAAGGTAGCAAGGGTGATCTTTCAGCATGCAGGTTGTCCTGTGGAAGGAGGATCTCCTGATTAAACCGGTATTGACTTGGCACTTGCCATGTGCAGAGACCGAGCTGGGTGCTGGGAAGGAGGAGGCGGGACATCCAGACAGGTGCTCCACCCTCAGAGTGTGTTGCCAATGTGGGGAGACAAGACTGGGCTCCAGGAGCCACTCAAAGACTGTGAGTCAGACGCTCTGAGTTCAAGTTTCAACTAGCTCCCCATGTGACCTTGAGCAAGCTTGGGCCTCCTCGGCCACAGGAAATCCGGAGGTCGGACCGTAGGCCCATAGGCGTCCTTCAGCCCGCACTGTCCGCGATACTGGAAGGGACGGGGTCAACCAAGAGGAGCTCAGAGAAGGCCGTGGGGAGATCAGGAGGGAGTGGGGAAGGAACAGCTCTTGACACCAGCCGAGCTTTTTCTAAGACTCATTCCCTAATGACAAGGCTCCTACATCACTGTGACAAACCATGACAACAGTTCTTTCCTGCAGGCCTTCTCGGAGGCTCGGCGTGCAGGCGACATCTGGAAAAAGCCACTTTTGACCACAGGATCCTTTTTTCAGGAAGCACCTTGAAGGCGGAGGGTCCTGAGGAACCTCTGCTAGGCTGTTTACACAGCCATTCACAAAGGCTTTGATGGGCACCTCCTCCCTCCTGCCACTCTGAGTGGAAGACAATTGATCCCACAGAGAAGGGAGGTGACTGGTAGCTGGAGGCAGTGTAGCTTGGGGTTCAAGGGAGCTGAGTTTAGGGGCCCTGCTTCACCAGTTCGTCCTGTGTAGCCTCAGGCAAGTTAGTTCACTTCTTTGCCTCAGTTTCTCCCCTGTAATACAATGCCTCCCTCAGGTTTGTGGTGCGGTTAAATGAGTGATGCCAGAAGTCATTGGCACTCGGTAGGTGTTTCACGATGGACCCTGTGTAAGGACCACACACACTTAAGTGTGCAGCAGTCAGTACCCGCTCAAAGGCAACCCCAGTTCTGATTTCTATCTCAGTGGTTCAGTTTTGTCTGTTCTTAAACTTACTCGACGTGGCCTCGCAGCGTCCTCCTCCGTGCGTGTCAGCCTCGTGGGCGCCCCGCAGCCCGCGGTCGCTGCCATCGGGTATTCCTCCCGCTCTTACTTGGCCCCAGGAGCCTCAGGCCCTCCATCACCTTTCTGTCTTTCATCAGGTCTCTTCCTGGGTACGAGGCGGCTGTCCACGTTGGAGGCACGTCTTGTGCTTACTCCGTTCTCGGACAGAAGATCCACAGCGGACTCCACGGGGCCGGGAGCCGGGCCTCCAGGAGAGACCCGCCATGGGCCCCCCACAGCCTCAGCACTTGGGGGCAGCACCTTAGGAGAACGAGGAGCTGCCTCCGTCCACCCCTTACCCTGAGAAGGCGGAGACTGCACAGTGGACCCGCAGCCTGCCCCTGGCCCCAGCTGGGCATGGACCAGCACCTGTGACCTGCCGGAGCTGATGCCGGGCCCACAGGGGGCCGGAGGAGCCCCCATCATGAGCCTGGGCAAGCTCTCACCCGTGGGCTGGGTGTCCAGCTCTCACGGGAAGAGGCGGCTCACTGCAGACATGATCAGCCCCCCACTCGGGGACTTCCGACACACCATGCACGTGGGCCGCGGCGGGGATGTCTTTGGAGACACCTCCTTCCTCAGCAACCACGGCGGCAGCTCCGGGGGCACCCACCGCTCACCCCGCAGCTTCCTGGCCAAGAAGCTGCAGCAGGTGCGCAGAGTCGGGGCGCCGACCCGGCGGCTAGCTTCCCCGCCGTCAGCCTCGCCTGCTCCCCCCGCCGTCTCCCCCATCATCAAGAACGCCATCTCCCTGCCACAGCTCAACCAGGCCGCCTACGACAGCCTGGTGGTGAGCAAGCTCAGCTTCAGCAGCAGCCCTGCCCGCTCCACGGACGACCACTCCAGTTATGGTGAGGGCCTGGTTATTTGCCCATTTTTCAGATGCTGAGACCCAGAGGGTTCAAAGTGAATTCTTTTCCCCATAGTAGTTTGGTAGGTATCACCATGGAGGTCAGGCCCAAACCCCAGACCGCGGATGGGGAGGGGTCCGGGGATAGGAGTCAGCCCACTCACCCAAAATACACTGATAAATTTGGAAAACCACTCACATGGACAGAAGCCAGACGCCCTTCCTGCCCTGGTCGGGAGAGGCGGGCTCTGCCTTGGCTCCTCTGGACAGCTCATTTGGGAACCAGGGTTTCTGCTGCCACCTGGTGGCCATTCTCTGCCCTGCAGCCTTGGCCCACCACCAGGGCTGCCTCTAGTGCTCTCCCTGCGGGTCACTGCTCAGAACCCCACTGAGAGCTGGTCCACCGAAACGCCGACAGCCAGGCCGATAGGGCTCAGTAGCTGAGCGTTGACCCATGCACCAAGAGGTCGCCAGTTCGATTCCTGGTCAGGCACATGCCCAGGTTGTGGGCTGAATCCCCAGTGGGGGGCATGCAGGAGGTGGCCAATCGATGTTCTCTCTCATCGATGTTTCTATCTCTCTCTCCCTCTCTCTCTCCCTCTCTCTCTAAAAAAAAAAAAAAACAATTAAGGGGAAAAAAAAATCTGGCTATGCCTCAGGCCTCGTAACCCTGGGGCCAGGGGCTGGACTTTGGAGGGCATCCTTTCAGTCTGACTTCTATGCAGTCAGATCCTGGCAGCCTGGCAGGAGACCAGGGGCCATGCCAGGTTCACAGTGGGAACTGAGACAGGAAATCTGAGCTCCAGGCTGGTTTCCACCACCTCAGACTGTGGCCCTGGGCAAGACCTTCCCCTCTGAGCCTCACTTTCTTCATCTGCAAAATGGGAATGAGGATTATGTCAATCGTCAGCTTCCAGGGTCACATGAGAGAGTACAGGGCTCCCTGTATTGGAAAGATGGGAGTGACTTGCTAGAGAGGACACATAGCAAGCTAGGGTTGGTCTTGGCTCTCCCCAGTTGCTGATCAGGGACCCCAACTCTGACCTTGCTTCCCGTTTCTCTTCTAGGCCTGGACTCTGGGTTCTGCACCATCTCCCGCGTGCCTCGCCCAGAAAAGCCTTGTGATCGAGATCGAGACCGTGACCGTGACCGTGACCGTGACAGTTCCTTCCCCTCTGAACCTGAGCTTCGCCGCTCTGACTCCCTTCTGTCCTTCCGCCTGGACCTCGACCTTGGGCCCTCTCTCCTCAGTGAGTTGCTGGGGGTCATGAGCCTCTCAGAAGCCTCTGCAGCTGAGACCCCAGCCCCAGCCCCTGCTACAAACCCCCCAATCCCTGCCTCAAGCCCTCCACCCCGTGGACGCTGCCCCAATGGGGTAACCGCTGGGTTGGGCCCAGTGGCTGAAGCAAGGGGCAGCCTGGTGGGAGAGTGTCCCCGTGCACCTGCTGACATGGCTCCCGGCAGGCACTGGGGAGCAGGCTGGAGTGGCAGCCGGGGCAGCCGCCACTACACTGAGATGGATGCTCGGCACGAGCTGGTGAAGGTGCTGCCCCAGGGTCGGGCCTCGTGGGAGAGCCTGGATGAAGAGTGGGGGGCACCCCAGGCAGGCAATAGGGCCCCTGTGCCCACCACGGTGCAAGCAAACACCTTCGAGTTTGCCGATGCTGAGGAGGATGACGAGGTCAAGGTGTGAACCCTGCCCAGCCTCAGGCCACTGCCCATGAAGAGCCCCGGTGCAGACCCAGCCCCTCACCTGACAGCTGGGTCCTGCTGCCGATAGTGGGAGAACCGAAGTTGCCCCCAAACCCTCCTCGCCTCTGCCGGACAGACATGGGAGGAAGGCCAGGCTTGTTCTGGGACCTGGGTGTTTCTGAGGGCCCTGCTGGGCTGACCCGCTTCCCCCTACTGCCACTCTGGGCCCACTGGTTGGAGGGCCCAGCCTTACAGTGCCTCCTTTGTGCTGGGGAAGCTGTCCTTGCCGGGTGGGGGAGGGAGCATACAAGGCCTTTGTCTCCTCCCAAAGGGACCGCCTGCCCCAGCTCATCCTGGAGCTGCCCCCAGCAGGGTCCTGCTGCGTCCCTGAGCCCCAGCCCTCGCTAAGGCTGTTTCCCCAACATTCCCACCCCAGCCCCCACTTGTCCCAGAAGCCTCAAGGTAAAATCAGGTGTGACCTCCCACCTTCCTGTGCACCCCAGACCTGCCTCTGGGTCCTGATTAAAAAAAGGCTTTTTTGATAAGAGGTGTCCTGCAAGATGTTTGGGGACCTGGGAGTAGAGTGTCAGCTCCACCTGCTTAAATACCCTCAGCATTGGGTTTGGAGGCCAAGGACCCCTTCCGGGCCCCCAGTGAACGAGGGGCCAAGATGGGTAATGAGTAACCAGGCTGGAATGAATGTTCCTGAGATAAGAGGCCCAGGTGGGAGCCCTTATCTGCAGTTCCGGGAACAGCCCCTGGCCCAGGTGCCTGGAGCCAGTACCTGCCTCTAATCCCACGAGGCAGCTTGGCACTTGCCATGGTGATAACAAGGGTCAGGCAGGCAGGAGTGGGTGCCTAGAGGTGTTTGGAAGTGTGTCCCAACCCTGACTTGGCAGTCCTAAGACCTGCTGCCTGTTTCCTCTGTATCGTGAAGGTGCTGGGAGCATTCAAATGCATGGGGAACACTAGCCACAGTGTCTGCCACACCGGGTAAAGGTGGCTTCTCAAGTTTAGCCTTAGACTTGGGGGAGGAAATGGGGCAGAGGGTGGGGAGCCAGGACCCAGGGGGTGCTGATCCCACATGACTGGGAAGCTCAGGATGGGGAGTTGGTGCTAGGGGTCTGTCCGCTCAGCCAAGCTCGGAGGAGATGTGGAACCCGCCCGGCACACTCGGGGAGCTCTGGTGGCTGTGGCCCAGCCTGCTGGGAAAGGTCAACTGGTGCCCATCTGGCAGCTTCACCTTGGATTTGTCCTCTCGAAGGCCACCGTGAACTGCAGGGGAGGAAGGGTGTCAGGGAGGCAGGAGGCAGCCTTTCCCCTTTGACTTCACCTTGACCTCTGGCCCAGGGCTGAGGCCCGTGTGATCTGCCCGCTGCTCCTGCCCCTGCTGCAGTCCAGCGAGTTGCAGACAATGGTGGATTCACCAAAGCGTGGGTTGAAATGCAGGTCCCGCTTATCTGTCCCCTGGCCCAGATTACCCACCAAGCTGCAGGGGAAGGGGAAAAGGTGAGGATTAGGGGCCAGGCCTGGGTAAAACAGCTTGGGTCACAGGATCCCAGTGAACCACAGCTGGAAGGCTCACCAAGGAAAGGTTGTGTTTATTGAGGTCTGTGCATTAAAGTAAGGGAGGTGAGCCCTGGCCGGCTTGGCTCAGCAGCTGGAGTGTCGGCCCACGGACCAAAGAGTTGCGGGTTCGATTCTGGTCAAGGGCACCTACCTCGGTTGCAGTTTGATGCCTGAGGGTCGTTCAGGAGGCAAACAATTTATGTGTCTCTCTCATGGGCGTTTCACACGCGCGCGTGCTCTCTCTCTCTCCCCCCACCCTTCCTTCCTCCCTCCCACTCTATCTAAAAATCAATGGAAAATATCCTCAGGTGAGGATTAAAAAAAGAATAAGAAATTAAATTAAATAAAATAAGGGAGGTGACAACATGGTCAGATGGCCCTGGACTATCACATTGGAAGCACAGAACCAAGCTCTGCAGGAGGGTAACCTGACAGTGACCTTTCAGAAGGTGGGGGTGTCTACCCCGGGGGGAGAGCCGCTGTCCTGAGCTCTCTGAAGACCTATCAACTGTTTATACAGTTGTCAACCTAAGCGGGGGACTCCCTGTCATTAAAAGTATGAGATCGGGGGTCATGTGACTTCTTGGTAGGATCACTACTGGAGCTGGGTTCGACCTTCGGGGTTCCCTGAGAGTGAGACGCTCTGGGTCCTGGGGTGCCTTCACTGGGAGGCCTCGGACCCGAGGTATCCCACTTTTCTGCAACCTGGAGGGACCCAAGAAGAAGAAAGGGGTGAGTTTTCTCTTGGCTCCTATTCCATGTATCTGCCCGTCCCCTCCCCAACCAAAAGCTGATGGAGATCAGTTCCGAGAAATGCTGACCTCGTCCTACGCACGTGGGAGCCCGGTGCGGAGCTGTAGCCCACCCCACCCCCACCACAGAAACATGTGTGTGCTTCTAATTGAGAGGATGCAAACGAAACCCCTTGGCGCCCCTGGTGGCTGCCTCTGGTGTAACGTTTGTGACCGGCTGGCCTCCTGCCCCTCCGCTGGGTGGAGAGGGTGGTGTCCCTGAGGGTTTGGGCTTTCAGTAGAGGCCCCTGACCCACAGGGGGCCGGGCAAAGCCCCAGGGGCTTCTCCACATGTCCCTGCAGGGTCTGTTGAAGCCAAGGGACAGAGCATGTGGTGTCAGCTGAGAGATTCTCAGGGCCCTCACATCTGGCCCCAGATATGAAGGCAGGCCCTACAGGGGCAGGGGTGAGCAAGGATGTCACTCTCCTCTCCGACCATGTCACTGGGCTGCCTGCCTGCCCCCACCTTTCCAGGTCTGCGGACCGTCCTCCCTCTCCCCACGCCCCACCCTCCCCCTTGCTCACCCATCAGCATCATCGGCCATCTGGCCCTTGATCTTCAGGCCTGTCCCCACCTACATGTCCATGTTCACAATCTCAAATTTCCCCTGCGCCAGTCGAGACCCAGTTCACCAGATATCAACCACACAGGTGCCCAGATGCTTCTCCTGCGTGTTACCACACCTTGACCTGGCCACAGGTCTCACTCTCCCCCGCCCGCGTGAGGGTGCAGAGCTGGGAAGGGTAAGACCCAGGGTACTCTGCTCAAAGCTCCCCAGAGCCCCGGTCACCTGTTTTGCATTGCTCTCATCCATCCCAGCCGAATTTGGACATACAGGGCCCACACGAGGGGACCTCAGTTTGCCCGTCTATGAAATGGGTAGAGTGGTCCCTGGAGACCTCAGAGTTCCCAACGTGTTCCAGTGATGAGGCATAGTGCCCTCAGCAGACGTCCCCAAACAACGACATGTTTAGTTCCCGCACAGACTTGGAGTCAATCTATTGACAGAAAACGAATCTATCAGAGGCCTGCAGTCCTTGGTCCATCCAAAATTAGGAGTCTAGAAAACTCCAGAAGCCACATGTCAGGAACGGCCATCAAAGGCCCTCTCCAAACCACTTTCCTCTCCTACAAAATGGGCCAATTTGCTTTTTCCATTGAAAACCAGTTGCTGAGGTGACTGGTGGCCCTGAGGTCACCAGCACCCACCCTCCCGCTGGTTGGGAGAAGTGGAGAGCGTGTTCGTGAAGCCCCACACGTAGGGAGGGCCTGGCACAGACTGAGGCACGCTGAGGGGCAACATCATTCGGGCTGCTTATTGTTATCCAGGGCCAGGGGTGCAGCTGGACAAATAGGGATGCCGGGCCCAGCATCCCTGTCCCCCCTCAACAAAGTCTGAGGCCCAGAGAGAGACAAAGGCAAAGCTGGGGTGGGGGCCAGTGTCAGTGGTCCGGGTCTAGTGCCTACTTCACCCCTTACTGGCTGAGTGACCTGGGGCGAGCTGTGCCCTTTCTGGTCCTCGTTCCCCATCATTAATATGAGAGATTTGGCTTAGGTTTCTCTGGAGAAGGAGGGCAGAAAGGGGGTGGGTGGGACAACCAGGAGAAGAAAGTCTGGAAGGTGTCTGGGCCCCAGAGGTCCTCCCCGAGCCAGACAGCATCGCCCCTTCCACCCGGGACCCCTCCACTCGCTCACGCTCTGCAACCCGCCTGTACTGGCTCGAGCAGCGTCTCCCAAAACATCAGGGCCAGCTGGAACCTGTGATGTAACCTACTTGGACATGGGGTCTTTGCAGATGTAATCAAGTTAGGATCAAGTCCTGTTCGTTTAGGGGGGGCCCTAAATCCAATATGACTGGTGTCCTTGTAAGAGGAGGGACATGTGGACCCAGAAACACAGACACAGGGGAGAAAGCCACGTGAAGACGGAGGCAGAGACAGAACTGCAGCGACAAGCCAAGGAACGCCACAGAGTGCCGGCCACCAGAAGCTGGAAGAGACCAGAAAGGATCCTCCCCTAGAGTCTTCAGAGAGAGTGTAGCCCTGCCAACACCTCAATTTCAGACCTCTGGCCTCCAAAACTAAGAGAATAAATGTTATGGCAGCCACAGGAAACTAATACACCATCTAATGCTCAGAAGAGGTGATCTGTGATCCCATTCCCCAAATGCTCAATGCTTAGGCTCAGAGAGGGGCAGTGACTCATCCAAGGCCACACAGCAAGCTATGGCAGAGCCAGGTTCGGAGTCAAAGAACCAGGGACCTCAAAGAGTATCCATCCTCTCAACCCCCATAATATAGATTATGACCTTGAACAATTTCATTTCTGAGCCTGTTTCTTTATCTTTATAAAGCTCAATGGATGTTAGCAGTTATTGTTATTACTGCTATGAATACTACTGAGGAGCAGCCCTAGCCAGGTAACTCAGGTGGTTAGAGCATTGTCCTGGTACAATAAGGTTGCGGGTTCGATCCCTGGTCAGGGCACATACAAGAGGCAACCAACGAATGCATAGATAAGTGGAACAACAAATCGATGTTTCTCTCTCTCCCTTCCTCTCACTCTCTCAAATCAATAAATAAAAAAAAATTTTTAAGAAAAATTAAAAAATATATTACTGATGAGCAAACTAAGGCGAAAGAGGGGAAGAGACAGGCGCAGCACAGTGGTGGAGGAAGCAGAGGACTTGGATGCTAAAGGGCTGTGGGGGCCACCTGTCCAACCTCCTCACTATACAGATGGGGAAACTGAGGCCTGGAGAGGGGCAGTGACCCTCTTCCCCGCGAAACCCCATCCGCATTCAGGCAAAGATGTGGATGGCGGAGAAGCCAGCCTAAGGTGGTGGCAGCTCCCGGAGGCAGCTCTCGGTGACTGCGGGCTCGGGGTCTCACCTCCCAGTCCAGCTTATATCCTAGAACACTACACATGAACTCCCCAAGGCCATTCATGGGGACTCTGGTCACTTCTTCCCAGGTACCCAGAACAAACAGACAGAAGGCTCTCACCCGGCCCACCCCACCCAGCCCCGAGCATCCTCCAGGGACTCTGCAGCCCGGATTCCTGCCTCCTCCCGGGGACGGAGGGTGCGGGGCAGAGCCGGACTGGGCATCAGGAGCCCGGCACAAACGCTGTGAGCTTGGCGGGCCACCCAGCGTCCCTGAGCCCTGCCTCCTCATCCTGAGACAACTACTCACTTTGTAAAACACCTCTACACTTTCGTGTGTTATGACGTGGAGATTCACTTTAAAGTCTTTTGTTCTGTTTTCTCCCTTCCTCCCATGACTTTTCTGATTGTACATGTAAGTTTTTTTTAATCCTCACCTGAGGACATTTTTCTATTTTTTTGTTCAGATAGAGTGGGAGGGAAAGAGAGGAAGAGAGGGAAAGAAACAGACGTGAAAGGGACACAATGAGTGGCCGCCACCCACATGACCCAACCAGGGCTGGGGGCAAACCGCAACCAAGGTACGTGCCCTTTGCGGGAACCAAACCCGGGTCTCTCTGGACCGCAGGCCGATGCTCTAACCGCTGAGCCAAACCAGCCAGGGCTGTACATGTAAGTTTTTTAAAATACGTTTTTATTGATTTTTATTAGAGAGAGAAAATGAGAGGGAGAGAGAAACATTGATCGGCTGCCTCCTGCACGCCCCCTCCTGTGAATGGAGCCCAAAACCCGGCACGAGCCCTGACCGGGAATGGACCAGCGACCTCTCAGTCCACGGGACGTGCTCCACCACTGAGCCACACCGGCCAGGGTTGTACATGTAAGTGTTAAATGCAATACATGCCCCGGCCAGTGTGGCTCAGCAGTTAGAGCATTGGCCCACGAACCAGAGAGTCCCGGGTTCGGTTCCCACTAAGGGCATGTACCTTGGTGGCAGTTTGTCCCCGGCCCCGGTTGGGGTCGTGTGGGTGGCGGCCACTTGATGTGTCTCTCTCACGTCGATGTTTCTCTCTCTCTCTCTCTTCCTCCCTCTCTCCCTCCCACTCTATCTGAAGATAAATGCAAACAGTGTGCTCGGGTGAGGATAATAAATACATAAATAATGCAATGCATGGTGGATTCAAAGAAAACGTCTAGAAGTACCTACAGCAAAGTGGTAAACGTGGAGAAGGGGGTGAGAGAGCTGAGGTCGGGTGGCTGGGGATTTAAGTGCTTCGCTCTTTCCTTCTGTTACTTATGGAGTCGACATGCTGGCCACAGGCAATTAGAGCTATTAATTAAGAAGGAACACATCACTCATTGCCTGGCCACCAGGAGGAAACCCGCTCACTTTATTGGCAGAGTCCCTTCCATCAGCGGTTCTCTGCGGATTTATATCCTGGAGTCCCCTCTGTCTCTGCAACGGTGGATCCCACTTCATTCCGTGAACACTGAGGCCCAGATCTGTGTCTCAGAGCTATACTCTGATAGTGGTGAGCTCTCCCCCCTTTCAACTGCATTACTCCACCGCTCTCCTTCTGCGGACGCTCACATCCATTCTAAACGTTGGCTATTAAATCACTGCCTCGTGAAATCGATCTGCACATAAAGGTTGACTGCATCATGACAACTTATTCAGGGCGGATTCCCAGAAGCAGAATTTTTCTAAGCCCTGGTTTGGCAAGCCCTGGTTTTTCCATCCGAGTTGGCGCCGGCCTCTGGGCGGGTGCTGGGAGCTTGGCCCAGCCGAGGACCCTCCTGTGCCAGGAACCCACGGGTGGCTCGAGGCCCAGTGCTTACACAGGACGCCACCTGCCGTCCCCTGCCTGCCCCGAGAGAAGAGTGGTTTCCTCGTTTTATCCACAAGGAAATTAATTCCTTCTCGGCCTTTCTCCCAGGGCCATGGTAAAGCCCAAGCCGGATAAGGAGTTCAAATGTTTACACATGGAAACTCGCCAAACAGCAGAAACGACACCTTGTGAAATGGTACTTTTCTGATTATGAAGGTAATTCTAGCTCACTGGAGAAGGTTTTGGAAAGTGCACAAGGTGAAAAGAACTTAAAAGTTCACTTGTTTCAGAAAATATGTTTAAAGACAAGGGACACACACTTCTGATTTGTGTACTTGGCTGTGTGTGTGTGTGTGTGTGTGTGTGTGTTTGGTTAATCCGCACCTAAGGATATTTTTTCACAGATATATATATATATATATATAGGCACGGAGGAAAAGAGAGCGAGAGAAATCATCGAAACCATCTGCCCGCACATCTCCAACCTTATTCTCTTAATAATGCCTACCTCCTGAACTTTACAAAACACTTTCTCCAGCCCTCATCGCAAGAAGCTCAATAAATTCTCCAGGTGACCTTTATTATTACTGTTTCTCAGATAGGGAACAAGGGTTCCCGGGATGTATACGACTAGTAAGTAGCAGAACTTGCCTTGTCCCCCAACCCACTGCTCAGATGACCGGCAAGCATCTGACAGCGCCCTCACTTCGTGAAAGGAACGTTTGACCCTTTGGGTAGTGGCAGCCTCTGTGATGGCCCCTGGTATCCGCGCCCTTGTATAACTGGCTCCGCTGGAGTGTGGCTGAACCCAGTGACTATTCTAATAGAATACTAGGATACGGCGAAAGTGATGGGGTGTCACTTCCAAGATTAGGCTCTCTCTCCCCGCACCATCATATTCATATTTTTCTTCTCTCCATTCCTCCCCCCTCTCTGTCCTAGCTCTGCAGGAAGCAAGCAAACCACGTCATGAGTAGTCCTATAGAGGTCCATGTGCCAAGGAACTGATGTCTCCAGCCAATTGCCAATGAAGACCAGAGGTCTGCTGACAGCCATGTGAGTGAACTTGGCAGTAGATCTACATTTAAGCCTTGGGATGGTTGGTGTAGATAACACCATGGCAGCAGCCTTATGGAGACCCTGAACCAGAAGGCACCTAGCTTAGTCCCATCTGGATTCCTAATCCACAGAAACTATGAGAAACATGTTTCTTATTTTAAGTACCTAAGTTCTGGTTAACTTGTTACACAGCAACAGATAAATAATACACTTTGCCAAGCAACTGTTATCAGAAGCTTGGTGAAAGAAATTATATTCATAAAGGCCTCTTTTTTAAAATTATTTTTATTAATTTGTTTTTGTTACAGATGTTTCTCCTTTTTCCCCATTGACACCCTCCTCCCCAACCCCCGCTTTGTTGTCTATGTCCATTGGTTATGCATACATGAAGGCCTCTTGACTAAAGAATTTGCAGTCCATGCCTGTCCCTAGACATTCTACTACATTGATCTTTTTAAAGAACCAGGTATTGGTTTTATTTCCTTTCTTAATGCTCATTAACGTTGTGTGTGTGTGTGTGTGTGTGTGTGTGTATCATTTATTTTATTGATCTTTTTCTAGCTTCTCAAGTTGAATGTTTTATTCATTCATTTTTCATATTTCTTTTTTACTAATAAATGCATTTAAAGCTATAAATTTTCCTCTGACTACCACTTTGGCCAGCTCTGATAGGTTTTGGGATGTTCTACTTAGTATTCCAAATGTTACCCTTGAATCAAGCCAGATGATCAGAAAGTTGTTCTCAGCACATAGTAAATGCTTAATATATAAATACTGAATAGCAAAAATAATAATAATGTTAATAATCTTTGGGGAAGAGTTGGAAAATAAAACATTAATAATATATAGGACTGGCTAAGCTAATGATGCTATGGAAATATAAATGAACTATTAAGCAGCAAAAAAAAAATCACATTTTGGGGGCCCTGGCTGGGTAGTTCAATTGGTTGGAGTGTTTCCCGATGCGCCAAGGCGGTAGGTTTGATCTCCAGTCAGGGCACAAGCAGGAGACAACTGATGAATGCTTAGGTAAGTGGAACAACAAATCAGTGTTTTTCTCTTTCTCTCTCTTCCTTCCTCTCTCTCTCTAAAAAAAATTAATAAATAATAATTCTTTTTAAATCACATTTTTTGAAGACCCTCTACGGCCATGTGCCTTGCTTGCCCAGAAGCAGGTTCCCAGGCCTTCGCGATGGGCCCTCACTGACTGTACACCAGGCCACCAGGCTGCACTAAGAGGCAACGGCGAGGAGCAGCCGTCACGCAGCTGTTGGTGTGAACGCCTCTGGGTGCCAGGAAGGACATTGCCTCGCTGGCCACGAGGGTCTCCCTCGTGTAACAGCAACACAGGTGACTTTATTCAAACGCATGGGATTGACGGCTGCCATGTAAGAAAAGTATAAAATACAGGCAGGCCTTGAGGACACCAAGGCTTAGGGGAGACAAGCTCGGGCACAGGAAACAACTAGAAAACAGCTCCCTGCACTCCAGTGGAAGGCTTCAGAAAACCGCAGACTCCTGGGCAGGGGGATTCCTGACACCGCCACTTACCATCTGTGTGCCCTCAGGCTCTTAACCTCTCTGAGTTCAGTCTCCTCCTCCGTAAACTGAGAACAATAAGTGTTGTGAGGATTAAGGGAGATAAACCTGGCATTTTGTTACTAGTTAACAGATAATATTTATTATCATTATCAGGAGCCTGTGACCCCCCTCTGTTGGCTGTGAGGGGGGCAGTTCACGCCTACCTGGTGCTGCACCTGAGCCCTCAGGCCTGTGGGAGGTTCTCCCAGCCCCCAGAGCCCCATTATGACTTTCCTGTGCCCAAGGTACTTCTGCTGTTTGGGGGTTCCCCCTACATTAAAAAAACATTTATGCCCTGGCAGGTTTGGCTCAGCGGTAGAACATCGGCCTGCGGTCCAGAGAGACCCGGGTTCCGTTCCCGCTAAGGGCACGTACCTCAGTTGCAGTTTGTCCCCGGCCCTGGTTGGGTTGTGCGGGTGGCAACCACTCGATGTGTCCCTTTCACGTCGATGTTTCTCTCTCTCTCTCTCCCTCCCCACTCTATCTGAACAAAAAATGGAAAAATGTCCTCGGGTGAGGATAAAAAACAAAACAAAACAAAGAAAAACATTTATATATTATATATACGCATACATACACACATATATAATTATAC